TTCTTTCCTTCTGCTAACTTTGGGGTTTTTTAATTCTTCTTTCTCTAATTGCTTCAGGTGAAAGGTTAGGTTTTTTATTTGAGATGTTTCTTGTTTCTTGAGGTAAGATTGTATTGCTATAAACTTACCTCCTTGAACTGCTTTTGCTGCATCCCATAGGTTTTGGGTCGTCCTGTTTTCATTGTCATTTGTTTCTAGGTATTTTTTTGATTTCCTCTTTGATTTCTTCAGTGATCTCTTGGTTATTTAGTAGTGTATTGTTTAGCCTCCATGTTTGTATTTTTTACAGGTTTTTTCATGTAACTGATATCTAGTGTCATAGCGTTGTGGTCGGAAAAGGTACTTGGTACGATTTCAATTTTCTTAAATTTACCTAGGCTTGATTTGTGACCCAAGATATGATCTATCCTGGAGAATGTTTTATGAGCGCTTGAGAAGAAAGTGTATTCTGTTGTTTTTGGATGGTATGTCCATTAAGTATCAATTAAGTCCGTCTTGTTTAATGTATTATTTAAAGCTTGTGTTTCCTTTTTTTTTTTCATTTTGGATGATCTGTCCTTTGGTGACAGTGGGGTGTTAAAGTCCGCTACTATTATTTTGTTACTGTCAATTTCCCCTTTTATGGTTGTTAGCATTTGCCTTATGTATTGAGGTGCTCCTACGTTGGGTGCATAAATATTTACAATTGTTATATCTTCTTCTTGGATTGGTCCCTTGAATATTATGTAGTGTCCTTCCTTGTCTCTTGTAATAGTCTTTATTTTAAAGTCTATTTTGTCTGATATGAGAATTGCTACTCCAGCTTTCTTTTGATTTCCATTTGCATGGAATATCTTTTTCCGTCTCCTCAGTTTCAGTCTGTATGTGTCCCTAGGTCTGAAATGAGTCTCTTGTAGACAGCATATATATGGGTCTTGTTTTTGTATCCATTCAGCCAGTCTGTGTCTTTTGGTTGGATCATTTAATCCATTTACATTTAAGGTAGTTACTGATATGTATGTTACTATTACCATTTTCTTAATTGTTTTGGGTTTGTTATTGTAGGTCTTTTGCTTCTCCTGTGCTTTCTGCCTAGAGAAGTTCCTTTAGCATTTGTTGTAAAGCTGCTTTGGTGGTGCTGAATTCTCTTAGCTTTTGCTTGTCTGTAAAGGTTTTAATTTCTCCATCAAATCTGAATGAGATCCTTGCTGGGTAGAGTAATCTTGGTTGTAGGTGTTTCCCTTTCATCACTTTAAATATGTCCTGCCACTCCCTTCTGGCTTGCAGAGTTTCTGCTGAAAGATCAGCTGTTAACCTTATGGGGATTCCCTTGTATGTTATTTGTTGTTTTTCCCTTGCTGCTTTTAATATTTTTTCTTTGTATTTAATTTTTGATTGTTTGAATAATATGTGTCTTAGCGTGTTTTTCCTTGGATTTATCCTGTATGGGACTCTCTGCGCTTCCTGGACTTGATTGACTATTTCCTTTACCAAATTAGGGAAGTTTTCAACTATAATCTCTTCAAATATTTTCTCAGTCCCTTTTTTTCCTCTTCTTCTCAGACCCCTATAATTCGAATGTTGGTGCATTTAATGTTGTTCCAGAGGTCTCTGAGACTGTCCTCAATTCTTTTCATTCTTTTTTCTTTATTTCGCTCTGTGGTAGTTATTTCCACTATTTTCTCTTCCAGGTCACCTATCCGTTCTTCTGCCTCAGTTATTCTGCTATTGATTCCTTGTAGAGAATTTTTAATTTCATTTATTTTTTTGTTCATCATTGTTTGTTTGCCCTTTAGTTCTTTTAGGTCCTTGTTAAATGTTTCTTGTATTTTCTCCATTCTGTTTCCAAGATTTTGGATCATCTTTACTATCATTACCCTGAATTCTTTTTCAGGTATGTTGCCTAGTTCCTCTTCATTTGTTTGGTCTGGTGGGTTTTTACCTTGCTTCTTCATCTGCTGTGTATTTCTCTGTCTTCTCATTTTGCTTAAAATACTGTGTTTGGGGTCTCCTTTTTCCAGGCTTCAGGTTCGTAGTTCCCTTTTTTTTCGTGTCTGCCCCCAGTGGGTAAGGTTGGTTCAGTGGGTTGTGTAGGCTTTCTCGTGGAGGGGACTGGTGCCTGTATTCTGGTGGATGAGACTGGATCTTGTCTTTCTGGGGAGCAGGACCACCTCTGGTGGTGTGTTTTGCATTGTCTGTGAACTTATTATGATTTTAGGCAGCCTCTCTGCTAATGGGTGGGGTTTTGCTCCTGTCTTGGTAGTTGTTTGGCATAGGGTGTCCAACACTGTAGCTTGCTTGTTGTTGAGTGGAGCTGGGTCTTAGCGGTGAGATGGAGATCTCTGCGAGAACTTTAGCCATTTGATATTACACGGGACTGAGAGGTCTGTGGTGGACAAATGTCCTGAACTTGGCTCTCCCACCTCTGAGGCTCAGGCCTGACACCTGGCCAGAGCACCAAGATCCTGTCAGCCATTTGGCTCAGAAGAAAATGGAAAAGAAAGAAAAGGAAGAAAAGAAAGAAAGAAAGAACAAAAGAAAGAAAGAAGGAAAGAAAGAAAGAAAGAAAAGAAAGAAAGAAAATAATAAAATAATATAAAATATAGTTATTAAAATAAAAAAGATTATTAAAAATAAAATTAAAATGTAATTAAAAAAAAGAAAGAAAGAAGAGAGCAACCAAACCAAAAAACAAGTCCACCAGTGATAACAAGCACTAAAAACTATACAAAAAAAAACCAAAAACAGACAGACAGAACTGTAGGACAAATGGTAAAAGCAAAGCTTTTGGGAAGTCTCAGATCTTCTGCCAGCGTTCAGTAGGTGTTCTGTAGGAGTGTTCCACATGTAGATGTATTTTTGATGTATTCGTGGAAAGGAAGGTGATCTCCACATCTTACTCCTCCATCTTGAAGGTCCCTCTCACATACCAGAATTTTGTTTTTACTATTAGTTTATCCAAGTAGTCAAGGTTGTGTGACAATTTAATCTGTCCTCTAAAGCAGTGTTTCTCAATGGAAATGGTTTTGCTCCTAGGGGACATTTGCCTAGAGACATTGCCAAGTGTCCCCTGAGGGGGGAAAATTACCCCAGTTGAGAATCACTGCACTAAAGGGATATCCCTAAGAGCATTTGGTCAGCATTAATATTTCCAGTACTTTCTACAACATGGGAAGGAAGACTATTAACTGTATTAACAGTTGAATGCAAATGAGTGCCATTTAAGTTAGATACCCAAATGCATATATATTTTGTCATTGAAAATTAGAAGAAATATTCTCAGGCTGGATTACAAGGGGTAAACAAAGGTAGGTTATTGTTCTGTGAGTCTGTGACACTTTCAGTGTCTCGACTACACTACTGAAGAAAACAGAAAGCTTTTGAAGATATCAGTTCTTTTACCACATCTATTTCGCATCTATAAGAGTACGTGGGTGTCTTGTCTTGGCATTAATAAAAATGACAAGTTGAAGGAGAAAATAGAATTGGAATGCCCTGTTCTCTAGCATGAGGAATATTTCTTCACCAAAGACATAAAAGATAAAATTGATTTTCAACAACTATAAATGGTGTTTTTCTGAAGTTCATAAAATACTGATTTTTCGCAATTTACTACATGTCCAAAAGATCTTAGGAACTTTTGTAGTCTCCTTTGGGAAAAAGTAATTTGATTTGTGTGAAGTTCTTTTTTTAAATTATTATTTACTGAACATAAATATGCCAAATCAAATATGTGGAAATCCCTTCCCCTCTTGGTATTTTGAGTTAAAAATCTTATGCATTATTAAATATGAACAGATAAATCTGACTACCTTTTAAAATAAGCTGCATCCTTGCTTTTGCCCTAAACATAAAGACCAGCTATTTACAACCTTGTTTTTTATAAAGTTTTTATTTCTGGTGATTGGGGAAAATGCTTCTTACTTGTTCACTGTCTTATAAATGTAGAAATATAATGTCTATAATCTTTACAATTTCTCACCTCAAAGATCCTACAAATATGCAAATCTCATTTATTTTTCAGTTCTCTATGCTCTTTGTAAAAATACCCTCCAAGCACAAGTACAATCAACTAGCAGTAGTTCAAAATAGTTTGTTTAAAAGAAGGACCAGCAGAAAAAATCAAACCCTAACAAACCAAATAATATAGCATAAAATAATAATTATAACCTTCCCATCCCAGGATGAGAGACTGTTAAAATAGCAATAACAAAATTCGATTACTTGGACAAACAGCACTTTAAGAGATCATGTGACATCTGAACATGAAGGAATGGAATTATTTTAAGAACATATCTACGTATTTCTTTAATACTTTCTCCTGAGAGTTATCTCTGACTCTGTGGCCACCCGAAATAAACTCCTTCCACAACATTTAATTTCAAGTGTTCTGAATCCCCTAAGAAATTCACATATGTCTGTCTGTGCCTGAAACAATGTATAAATCTGAAGACATCAGGCACTATGTATATTTGGAACCCTGGCTTATCCTTAGCCATCATTTCTTCTCTTTTTTTTGCAGGATATATTCAGGAACAACTGCTTGTATAAACCAGCATAACATCCCTATTCACACACTACCACCAGATTGAATTTCTTTTTATAATTCAGACTAATAGATCCAATTAAAAAAAAAATAGGTAGGGCCCAGTCTCTGTAATGACTCACATAGCATCGACACTAGATAGAACCTTGCTTTCCCATTGCTGCTGTACAACACAAAACCGATATGTCTGTGAAGACTTAGCACTCTTTGTTTCTGATCTGCAGTTTTAAAACAACTCATTGGCATCTTCAATGTCTTTCTTTTTGCAGCCTGTATCAAAAATGCAAAGAAGTGGTGCTGGCCAAGGAAAGTGGGAGACACACCTAGACTAGACCAGGCAATGGACAGGAAGGAGGAATGCAGTAGCAAAGTGGTGCTAGAGGGCGCTTTGCCTTGCGGAGAGGTGACCATGGCAACAAGGGAGCTGCGAGGAGGAGAGAACAGACCTGCGCCAAGAATGTGAGCACCATCGTCTTTCATCAGAGCACTTGATTGCTTTCAGAGTTGAGACAGCCAAGTCTTTATTGTGTTTTCTTCCTCTAGGAAGCCAGTGAAGGTTTTGACAGGACCACAGTCAAAGAATACTCAGGGAGCAGGTAACAAAATGCGGTGCTCTGGATGGTAGCCTTGCTGGACTTCTTTTCATGGGTATTTTATCGAACTTATTTAAAATTACCATCAATATGAACGTATCTGGCAGCTAAGGGGCACCCCTGCATCTGAAGTAATGCGGCTGGGAAGAGCAGGTGTCTCCACTTGCATTAGTCTGTTTGCTGGCATGATTTGAAGCAGTCCTGCACAGGTGTTTCAGGGGATGGCTGATCCGTTCCGTATTCATTAGTCATCCTAACTGCCTCACTTGTTATCCACATTCGCTAAAGTACTCTGGAGAGGCAAATGAAAAGTCTGGCATACTTTCCACTGAGCAAAACTGCAGCTTGGGCAACACTGATGTAGCTAAGGCCAATTTCTTTTTATAATAAGTGGTGTGCTTAGTATAGAAATAATTTTTTATATGTCTTAGTGTTAATAATTGTTTAGAAGTGATACACACATACACATGCATGCATGCACTCACATGCGTACATACACATATGTACTCCCTTCAGAATACTACAGAGAATACATGGTGCAATAAGATAATTATATATTTAAATTGTGCTGGGGCTTTTGGCATTAATTATTTTCATACAGTTGATGAGAGAGGAGATTCTGAATTCCCTGTCACCACTATAATGTCACTTATCTTTGGTTAGAAGGGATAATTTTTCCCTATGGTGATGACTGATACAATGGTGTTTTTTTTGTTGTGTTGACTGTTTCAAAAATGTGATTTCTAGGTTGGCAAATATTATCACAGGTGTACTGATGTTACAAGGAGCACTTGTAGAAATATTGGAATAAATAAACTATTAAACTTTTTTAGTTTATTGGGTGAACTGGTTCATTACTTTAGTTTTTCTAAGAGTTGATGCCTGTTAAGTTACTTTTTATCCTCTCTGCACTGTTGGTGAAATGATATCTAGACCTGACTTTGAGATATCAGAAATGGTGCTAAACGTTATTAATTTGATCCCTATGTGTTGTTTTCTCATCTATCTACATCATAATTACTATTATGGTTTCTATATATATTTATATTATGTACTTTTCCATAACACAGGATTTTTCTCGAGGTTGTAACAGAAACTAAATGAGATGCTGGGCAAAAATGAGCTCTAAGAAATTTTGCATTCCTCAGAAGTTTCTGACTCTGAGGATAGATACCTGATGTCAGTTGCACAGTCTTTAATCACCTTTTAGAGACGAGTTTTATTCCTCTAAAATATAAGAGCTGTGATCTATGGGACTGAGCCAAGATTTCTGTCCTGACTTCTGTTCTGATTGTAAATGGGATTATACAGTGCTAGGTGTGTTCATGTAACCTCTTTCTTCTAAGTAACACAAAAGATTTTCCTATCCCTCACCTCTGGTGTTGCCTATAAAGTAATCACAGCTATACATATTTTTCCATGTCACGAATGGAGAAATGGAGACAAAATGATAAAATGACTTATCTGTCATCAGAGTGACAGTCTAGGATTAAGCCTTGTTCTGAATCTCATACTCTTCCTTCTATTAAGCAACTCCTCCATAGGAGAGTAAATAAACGGGGATAGGAGTGGGAGGAAAGCAGGGCCAGGAGAGTGGATGCTACATGATAGATTGGATGATATTCTGATAGGCCTCTTGGAATGCTGCTGTAGAAATCCCTCCTGATTTGGAATACTCCTGGTCCGAAGTTGTTGCAGGAAGGGGGACCCCTTCCAGGGCCCGTGAGTGGTCTCTTGTCTAACAGTAGGAGATGAATTGTCTGAGGAAACACTTGTGCTGACAAAGCAAAAGACTTTATTTGGAAAGGGCACCTGGGCAGAGAGCAGTAGGGTAAGAGAACCCAGGAGAACTGCTCTGCCACATGGCTCACAGTCTCAGGTTTCATGGTAACGGGGTTAGTTTCCAGGTTGTCTCTGGCCAATCATCTTGCTTGGCCCATATTTGGTGACTCAGGGTCCTTCCTGGTGGCATGGTCATCTCTCAGCCAAGAAGGATTGTAGCCTGAGGGTTTCTGGGAAGTTGGGAGACTTATCATCTCCTCCCTCCTCCTTTTGGCCCCTCCCAAATTCTTCCAGGTAGTTTTACAAGACTTCCTATTAACTAGCATCTCCTCCCTCCTTTCGGCCCCTCCCGAATTCTCCCCGTTAGTTTTCAGCGGCAGCACTGTGTTCTTTATCTGGGACCTTCTGTTGTGAGACAACTCATGCAAGTGGTTATCATCCTGCCTGACCAAGGCAGGTGGTTTTGGTCAGCAGTTCCCTAATAAAGTGATAAAAGTCTGTATTTATTATGAAGTCAATACACAGTCACTATTGTGAACCCACACGAACCTTCAAAAATCATGCCTTTACTTCTGCCTTTAAAAAACCTGTTTGGAAACTGATAATACTGATTTCCTCCAAAGAGGGGAACTCAGTGAGAGAAAGAATGTGCATTTCATATTGTTTCTTACCTTTTGAATCTTGAACCCTGTGAATGAGTTCTCTATTTAAAGAAGTCATTATTATTGTTTTATAAATTTATTTATTTATTTTTGGCTGCATTGGGTCTTCACTGCTGTGCGTGGGTTTCTCTAGTTGCTGAGAGCGAGTGCTACTCTTCATTGCAGAGTGCAGGCTTCTCATTGCGGTAGCTTCTCTTGTTGTGGAGCACGGGCTCTAGGCATGCGGGCTTCAGTAGTTGTGGTGCGTGAGCTTCAGTAGTTGTGGCGCCCGGGCTCAGTAGTTATGGCTCATGGGCTCTAGATCACAGGCTCAGTGGTTGTGGTGCATGGGCTTAGTTGCTCCGCGGCATGTGGGATCTTCCCGGACCAGGGCTTGAACCCGTGTCCCCTACATTGGCAGGTGGATCCTTAACCACTGCGCCACCAGGGAAGTCCCAAGAAGTTTTTTTTTTTTTAAATCATGTTTTGGCTATGGAATTTTTCAGCTTCTCATAAAATCAAAATCTGTTCTGAATCACTGTAGAGGATCTCAAAAACCTGGGATCTTGGCTCTTTCAGTTTCTCTGACTTTTAGCTTTTCTTTTCTTTTTTCATTGAGGTATAGTTGATGTACAATATTATATGTTTTAGGTGTACAACATAGTGATTCACACTTTTTAAAGGTTATATTCCAATTATAGTTCTTATAAAATATTGGCTACATTCCCTGTTTTGTACAATATATCCTTGTAGCTTGTTTCATTTTTTTATTTTTAAATTTATTTTTAGTTTTTTATTTTATATTGGAGTATAGTTGATTAACAATGTTGTGCCAGTTTCATATGTACAAAAAAGTGATTCAATTATACATATACATTTATCTATTCTTTTCAAAATTCTTTTCCCAATTAGGTTGTTACAGAATACTGAGACGTGTTCCCTGTGAGATATAGTAGGTCCCTGTTGGTTATCCATTTTAAACATAGCAGTGTGCACATGTCAATCCCAAACCCTAACCCTTGTAGCTTATTTTAAACCTAATCTTTTGTACCTCTTAATCCCCTCCCCCTTTAATCCCCTCCCCCTTCCCTTTCCCCACTAGTAACTATTGATTCTAGTTCATTCTCTATATCTATGTAGCTCCTACTTTCTAAACTTTAATTTCACTGAGGGATACCATAGAGAAAAGTTCAAGGGAATGGCAACTCAATGCTTATGGGGCAGGTTGGAGGTGTCTGTCAAACTCCATCCCCACCATGGAACTCTACCTCTTCTTGAATCCCTTCATTCCCCCAGTCCCTTTCAGCCCACACCCCACATCCTAGGGGAAGGGGCCCTTTAAAATAATGCTAAGAAGGAGACTCCCCACAGGTAAGAGAGACTTCTCTTGTGAGTGCCCCATTCTGAAGAATGTGAAGATACAGGCAAAAGAGGACTTTTGACCATGGATAAAAGAGAGAGGCCACATAGAAGCAGGATACAGAAATGAGAGAAGAAAGGAAGGAAGGGAAACCAAGAGAGGAAGAAAGTTCTGGATGCCCATTCAAGGCAAACTCAGGAGTGCTTGAAAAGTGACCTGCGGGCCACAGTAAAGACATTTTGCCCCATTCTCTATACTCAGAATATTTTCTCCTCACTCGGAGTTACACTGGCTCATGTCAGGTCCCACCGCTGTTGTGGGATGAAATGGCAGGATTAAGCTTATGTTTTATTAACACTCTTGATTTTTTAAAATTAAAGGTTACTGTAGGGGATAGGAATTTATGCCTTAGTCTAATTGGTGAAATATCAATCAGAAGCCTACAGAGATGACTTTTATTTATATGGGTTAATTGTTTAATCATAGATTGGACTTTCAATGCTCATTTAATTTCAAGTTCTGATTCTAACCAGAACTTCCCTTGATATTTATTGCCAAGAGCCATAACTCCATTGCAAAAAAACATAAATTTCTTGATATATTTTTGTTTTGCTTTGTTTTGTTTTGCAAACTCCTTTATAAATATGTTTTCTGGGCTTCCCTGGTGGCGCAGTGGTTGAGAGTCCGCCTGCCAATGCAGGGGACACGGGTTCGTGCCCCGGTCCGGGAAGATCCCACATGCTGCAGAGCGGCTGGGCCCGTGAGCCATGGCCGCTGAGCCTGCGCGTCTGGAGCCTGGGCTCTGCAATGGGCGAGGCCACAACAGTGAGAGGCCTGCGTACCGCAAAAATAAATAAATAAATAAATATGTTTTCTCCGTGTTTACTGCCTGAGGGACCATCTGCCAAGGTGTAAACAGACAAGGCACACTGACAGAAGCTTGGTGTGTCAGCAGAAAATTAATAGTTGTTTTTATTGCTAATACAATTGATCATATGAAACTATGTAATTGTTTTTTGTTTATCTCCAAGTTTTTCCACCTTGGCTTTCTTTCCTTTTAATTACAAAAATGAATGAAATCTATAATAACTGCTTGTGTGAAACACTGCTTAATATAGCAAGGATGTATCAGGGCCTTATTATCTCTCCCCTGTGTCCCCACCATGAAAATAACTATTAGTACATTTTTATATTTTGATCACAGAATTCTATACCTAATG